CTGCTGATAAATGATGGAGAGTGGCTTGGCGAGCTCCTCCACGAGCTCCCTCAGCACTCTCAGGTGGATCCCATCTGGCCCCATAGACTTGTGAGCATCCAGGTGGCGTAGCAGGTCATTAACTGCTTCCTCTTGGATTATGGGGGGGGAGTTGTGCAGTTGCCTTGTTGCTTACAATATTTGTACCAATTCATCAGTAAATGGTCTCTTCACAATGTGAACCCAACCATTACACCAATTTTTGGAGAACCATTAAGCTGTCTCAAAATGGAAATTATAAACTCAGAAGTAAAACCGGTGAATAAAAGGACAAGTCTGAAGGGAAATAAACTATCCTCCTTAAAATAGGTAAGATAATAATATTAACGCTTTTCCGCCCCCTGTAATGTGTGTATGGTCCTACCTGGTAATATATCACATTTAGTAGGATTTCTGGATATGTTTGACATACTTAAATTCAGCCAAAAAGGTGACAACATAGATCCTCTTAAGTGTTGGTTACCCTACATCACCTCCTCTTTTGCATCCATTCCCTATGCATCAAATACAACCCCGTTTTTCACTGCGATGGTCATTCATATCTCAGTTCTTCCTTCTCATTCTTTTTTTCTTCCAGTAATGAGCCATAACTACTTCCCAAGGCTGTCAGCTTTAACAAACAGACTGCTTTTTCCTCAGACATCTCCCACACTGCCCATGGTGCTTAATGGTTAGGGAGCTCACTCACTGAGACAACTGCTTTAAGAAAATGCTTTCATTTTTCCTGTATGAGTCCTCTATCCTCCACCAGCCTGTTCTATCTACCTACTGCCCTAACATTATCTTAGATGTAAACTCCTTTGGGAATGAATTCTTTCTTATTATGTGTGTAGAGCACCTAGCTCAGTACTATTTAATTGGAAAAAAAAAAACCCACACAAGGAAACATGTTACTTAAATAAAGCACATCTTAAGTCATAGGCATAAAGTAGTTAGGTCAAAGTTTCACAGTACTGGAGCATAAGACATTATTCAAAATACACTTAGAATTGCAAAACCTTCTGTAACTTTCCTGATGCAATTTTTAATTTCCAACTTGCAAAGAAAATCATGCATTTGACAAGCTTTAGTAATATCATTTGCTTGCTCTGGAGCAGAGCAGAATATGATATTCAGTAACTATTTATAAATGAATGACACATTCTGGTTTATTCTTAAATATTAAATGGTCAAGTTTTAACCAAACAGCACAGTTAAAATAATTTTTTTTACTGCATTATTTATGATTCTTTCAGCCATAGGGATTCTAGATAGCACTATACAAAGTAAGTTGATATGATTTCATAGTAGAAAAAACATCATTTATATATTCTTATTATGAATGAGTTGCTCACATATTCATTCTATGAACTGAATAAACCAAAAAGCCTATGTATTTCTAAAAATTAAAACTTATCAAATGCTACCAGAAATTTCGCACTTCAGGAGAAACAGACTTTCAATTTCAATTTCAATCGCTATGTTTAGCCCTAGAAGAGTATGTATGCTTAACTTTAGACCTGTAAATGTAATTTTGTGTTAGTTTTAAGCAAAGGATCTGTCATGTTACCTCACTGTATTAATAAGATTATACTCAGTTCAGATTTCTTTTATGAAGTCACAAAGGCCACAAGATAAGAAAAAACATTTATGCAGTCTTAACTTTAAGTAACAGATATGTAATCGAAAAGATTATTGTTGTATTTCATTTAAATATATCTGTGTTTGCAGATTCTGTATTTTAACAGTACAGAGAAACGGTGATCATTACAGGCATTGTTGTACTTTGGTAAGTGGAAATGGACTAGCATCTAAATGTCTACTTTTGTCATCTCTTACATATTTATAATAGTTTGCTTTCAAACATTTATTCTGTAGATCTCTTAGGAAAGGAGAAAACCTACCTTTGCTTTAAATGTGCATAAACTACAGGAAAAGTAACCTTCAAGTGAGAAAAGTTTGATTTAACAGAATTGGAAGAATGGAAATCTGTTCCTGTTTCTGCTTGAAAAGTAGCACAGACACATTTCAGCTAATATGCTGTTTCTAACAGTTCCCAGTAAAAGTTACATATTTTATTTTTCAGAAAAGTCTCAAAGTTTTTCTTTGTATTTACAAAAAATATTGTTTTCAGAGAAGTTTAAAGGGTAGCTTCTCTAAGTCAGGACACTTAAGCTTTCGTATGTTTTGCTTTTCTCTCCTTGGGGCACGAATAATTTTCATGTTGTCATTTCAATAAAAGAATTCCCTCCCTGTTGGAGTTATCTTACTTATTCACATACTATATTATTATGTAGCAGCCCTGATGAGTCGTTAATGAAACAATTAATTTCAACTGGATTGGGTGGTTGTCAAAATGAAGTGACATGGATTCATCTACACCTGACATAATACCCTCAGCTAACTGATGTGAAACAACACAAGCAAATAAAGCTACGAGAAATTTGCCAAGTTATAGATAGCTGTGAACACATGTAAGGGAAAGCAGTTTATTACTTACAGAGAAATTACGGATGATAAAAGTATGTTGATTAATACTATAAAAATTGCTGCACAATAGGAAGCAGTGCCAAGTAAGAAAAAAACAAAATAAATTATTGTATCAAAGAATGTCCATAGTTAGTAGTGCTGTAAACCCCAAGTATTGAAAGACAAGGCATGAATGAGATTACAAAAAGTAATGCCACAGTCTCAAAAACTGACTATGGGACATCATGAGTGCAGCCAATTGCCAGCTAAGGCCTGGCTGGAGGCAATAGCTTTGCTCGGCTTAGGATCCTGACAAGTCATGGGGCAGCAGTTTGTTCAAGCTGCTGCCAGCCAAGGTTTGGACTGACCCAGCAGCTGGAGTTTGACAATCATAGTCTGGAAGCTAGACTGGTAAAAGAGCTGAGCGCTCAACAGATTCCAGTGGAAATCTCCTGTGAGAATGTCCTCAGTTTCTGAAAACCTCAGCTCATCTGACACACTGTCCCCACCTAGCTTCCATCCTATCTAGGGACTTGAAAGGAAAAGGGAAAGCTGAGTCTTTTATTCTCTCTCAGTTTTGCTCATTACACTGGGCAATACTAGTAAATCATTTTTTAAATCTCAACATTCCTCACTATCCAACTCCCTCTCAAAGTACAATATAAAATAAGCAACTGTAACCAACACCATGTCACTAGAGGTTCCCTGGCTAAAATCAGATCTTTAAAATTTGAAATTTCCTTTAGCTTTCAAATAACAGATGTCACACTCAGCCTATAGTCAGATTAAAGCAGTTAAAAGTTAACGGCATACAAGTAATGCCAACTAATTTATAAATTAGGATACAGTCAATCACAGATTTAAATTTCCTGATTTCTGTCATATAAACCTACATCATCAACTAGTGTGTAGCTAGTCAACAGCCTTCATGAAAACATATCATAGAATTGATAGGTTTACAAGCCTCTCAGTAAAATATAACTGCTTATTGAAGTGCCACTTCATATAATGTAATTTTCAGCACTGCACATAACATTCAGCTAATTCTTTCACTTCCTACATCTGGTTCTCAATTAAAAGTTGAACTGCTAGAAGATGTAATGCATTCTGCCTGAAAGTTAAAAACAGATGTTTTTAAACTACTAAAATAGTGCATTAAAAAATGTTAACATCCCGCCCATCGTTGTCTTGAGCTTCGAGATGTATTATCACTCGTAACTGATGAAATGTTTCAAATTTAGCTGAAATGTGAACAACAATTGTACATTTAGCCAGGTATGACAGAGTTAGGTATTTTAATATGAAAATCTCAGATACTTAACTGAAACAATAAAATAGGATTATCACATTTATAGCATAAATGTGTTTATTGGCGTATTTATAGTCATAATATGGGAGCTCATAATGCAGCATTTAAGTTCATTAATGTAGATCTATTGGAAAACTGATATGTGATCCATGAATAAGGAAGAGAAAAAATACTCCTTTGATTTTAAATGAAGCTTAATGAATTCAAGATGTTTACAAGGAATGGTAGAAGTGAATTGCTAGCAGAAGTCAAATGCCTATAGACCAAAATATTGCTCTTTGTTGCATAGGTCTTTTCATGGATAAAATACGGTTTGTCCTGCCTCCCTTCAAAAAACATGTAAAAATCTGTTCAAAATCTATCTTTTTATATTACTTTGCTGATTCTATCCTTCTCATGAGATAGATATGGACTTTAGAGTACATGCTACTCTGCAAAATCATCCCTAATCTTAAGTGAGCAATAATATAGCAGGCTGCTTTTCTGTCTTTTTCTATACCTGGGTAAATATCATTAGCAGGCCCTGGGGAGTGTCCCATGGTATTATCTGCAGCATCATGCGGTGACGGGGCTGGCTGGAGGGGCTGGATTGTGAGGCAGTCATTCAGGATGTCCTGGCCAAGCTCTGAGCTAGATCGCAACTGAAACACAAGAGATGAAAAAGGAGAAATGATTATAACATGGACAAAAAAAAGGAAATAAATCACAAAAATCCTTAAGACACTGAAAAATTATAATGAAGAAATGTTGAGGGGTTAGAGGAAGAAATGGAGCACAAGCAGAATTCTTTTCTTTTAAATCCTGGTTAATATCCTTCCATTATAGCAGGGATTTTTTCGATTTTGAGGGAGGAAACTCTTCCAGATGCTTAACAAGACTGTACTCAGGACAAGGGCTACTTGTACAGATAGGACCTTGGACAGATGGACTTACGTGTGTTCTCTTGTCATACACTACAAAAGAGTGTCCTGATTCATGGATAATGGAGATTTATCAAATGTCTGACATTTCTCATATCAGCAGAGGGATACTATAAAAAATACAAATACTTTCCTGCTGGTTTAGTGCCCTGAACTGGCTCACTGAAGGACCAGAAAAGCAAAGGTGGTCGTGGCAGTGGAAACGAGGGACTGGGAGCAAGCAGCCAGGAGTGGTATCATTCAAGATGGTCAGGATGGAAGTGGTACCACCTTATATGGACCAAAGACCAAAGTTGTCTTGAGACCACATTGTTAAAGTGACTAGGACTGCATTTGTTTCACATTATGGCTCAACTCATCTGAAAGTGAGTGCTCAGTCACTGCCACTAATCCCAGCTGCAGGCACGGCCACTTGCCTGGTACCTGATCCATCAACAGCAAGTCTGTTTATCTGGCTGATCCAGCAGAAAATTCACTCTGCAAACAATTAATAAACAAATTCATAAGAAGAGTTTTCCTTTGGATGAAATCGGATGAACAGTCTCACCCTAAGGCTACAATACAATACAATAAAAAAATACAATTAAAAAAAAAATCCCAAAACTAAAATAAGGAAAAGGGAGAAAGCCTACTGCAGCACCCTGACACAAGGCTGTCCTAGATGTAATGCAAAACTGTACACTGACGTTTCTGGCAGATGGATGCTGTTGCAGGCTGCTGGGACTGATGCCTGTCCCAACCCCCTGCCTGATATATATACAAAAATTTGCCTCTTCCTTATGGCCATCTCAGCTCACAGGCTGGTGTATTCATTTAAAAGCATGAAAAAGGAGGGTCTGTGCTTACATGCATGTGGGCCACCGCAGTGGCTGAGATGCAGATAAATATCCTGTCCTGTCACCCATGCTGATGAAGAGATAGTTCACGCAGCATGATGGACAGAAACCTGACCTAGTGCAGTAGGATTTGCTGCGCTCATATATCAGAGTCCCAACAAGCAAATCTCACAGATGCAACTGAGGCTTCTCCTCTCTGGTGCCATGAAAGCTGAGCAGGTTAACAGTAACTAGAACATAACCTAGCACCTCTGAAAAACTCCTAAGAGGAGGAAGAGCAACAAGAGAAATTTCTGTCTATCCTGTACTCAGAAATGAAGAAACAAGAGTAAGAGGGAATGATTCTGAAGGCAACTGTAGAATGACCCATTACTGTGCCACAAGATGCTGATAATCATTCAAATGATTGCATTCTGATGATATGCATTAGTATAAAACTGTTGCAACAGAGTGGAGAACACATCACAAGCATCCGAGGTAGGGTGACTGTAATAAGAGATATTATGCAGCCTATGATACCTATGCACAGACGATGCATGCTGTAGATTATTCTTTCTCTTAAAAATTTAGTGAGTCATTATTAAGCCCGAAGATACACTACTTTTGTGAGGCATACTTGTTATTCTAGAACTTGTTATTCTAGAATTGTACAGAGAGGGGGAAGGGGGGAAGGGGAGAGAAAGAGGGAAACAAGGGAGAAAGGGAGAAAGAAAGGGAGAAATACCCTGACAAATGCTTTTCATTTATTATCCATATTTACATTCTGTTGTAAGTATAAATGTTTCTTCCAGTGTAGCATGTATGGTTGTCTGCTCTTATCCATTAATTATTCTGTTTTTACTGCTATCACTAGTAATATGGCTTTTTCATGAAATTAAGTGCATGTGAAATTAAATGCCAGATATATCCAGATTCAAATTCTTATCAGTTACATTATTAATGTGACTTTAAATTTCTGTGGAATCTAATATGAAAATAAATATGAAAAAATCTGACTTCCATAAAAAAATCACGATTCTATCACACAGAATACAAATTTACAGAGGTCGCCTGTATTAAGTTGTTTGTTTGCGCAATTTTTTTTTTTTGGTGAGTAATAAACTGATCAATGTTCTACGATCAGATAGCACTCAAATGGATGAAACAGTGAGCAGAACAGAAAATGAGAGCTTAGTATTTACACATTATTTACACATTAGTTACAAGTATTGAATAACAGCAACAGCCCATTTTACACATTTTTCTATTTTGCACTGTTCAGGAGGTTTGTTTTGCATTTGCAAATCCTTTGATACTGAGAACAAATCTATCATGACAACCTGTGCTGACATAAATTTTCTGGTTTGCCCAATAGTCAATGCTATAAAAACAAACAAAACCCGGGATCAACAATAGAAAACCAAAAACAGTGAAACCAACACTGGGAGACAGCTGTTATCTGATTTCTGAAGATAGTTCTTAATCCATGCATTCATTATTATTGATTCATATTTACAACCACAAGGGCTAGAAATACAGATTTTATAAACTTACCTACACACACACATACATGTGTTGTATATTATAATATGTAATTTTAGAATGACAATATATGTATTTAACATACATATAATGAAATATCCTGAGCAAGAGGTGGGTATTACACTGATTTGTGCAACTGCAGACACACACTGCTAATTCAAATTGCCACTAAAAATACTACCACAGGCCTTCTATAAACCCTCAGCAGGTAACAGGTGCTGGGAATAACTTTACTCTCCTTTACTGCAGGCTATGTATGCGAGTTGCTCTTTAAGAGTAATTACTGTTGCACCACTGGAAAGGGTACGGAGCAACGGGTAGAGGACCGCTTCTCTACCGCTTAGCAGAGCAGGACCAGAAATGGGTAAGCTTCCTTTAGCAGAACCAGCCATTAAATCACAGCTGCTTCCCAAACTAGACAAAACTTCTGGAATACTCCATTCCCCACCGTTACTGTTTTCTCTTGAGAGAGACATTAACCATGCTTTGGTTGCTGGGTCCTCCCTCCTCTGCCATCTAAAGTTCATCCTCTGTGCAATGTTTTTCCAGATCTTTCTTCTGTACCATTAACAGGGCTGGCATAAGCTGTGGCCTTTTTGGAACAAAACAGACTGCAAAAAACAGACTCTGGTTCAAATATGGCTGATCAAGGCATTGTTTTTTCCTGTAAAGACATTCAGGGTAAAAAAACCTCTCTATCTCAGTCAAATATTTTTGCATATTTTATAGAAAACTTTTAATAAAAAGTTTTAACTGAAACCAACGTTTTGCATTTTGTCAAGAGCAGGGAAATCTGAGCTACAATTTTTCTTTAGTATGTGAAGAAACACAGAACAGACAATGAAAAGACAGATGATCTTAAAAACAAGCAAATAAACCAACCATTCATTGTACCCATAAAATTTTATCTTCAGTTAAAAAAGCTATAAAGGAGAAATAATAGTTGACCAGATCTAACTGCTGCAGTCTTGTTTCTTGCTTTGCTCTAAAGACAATGCATTTCTTTTCCAGCCTAGACTGTATACTTATCAACCAGCTGTAAAGGACAGTTGACACTCTCTTTGACTTCTGTATAAATCATACCCCAGCACAAATCTCCCAGCACCCTGGCTGCAATACCTTGCTTCCCCCATGACCACCTTGCTTCCCTCATGATCACTCAGCTGAGCACCAGTACAATCACACTGGGACTGAAAACTTGCCAATCTATTTTTGAGAATTATAAGGTTAGAAAGTTACCCTGATGAATGATGAAATCAGTAACTGACAATTTTGCCATGCTGAGCACAGACATTTTCTGTGTGCTGTAATGTAAGCCTAGATTTATGGCTGACCAAGGTGCAAGTTAACAATCAACTGCTCAGCTCACTTATAACTTCCCTGTATGAAATACTTGTTCTAAATAATAGATTTTCAATTTTAATAGCTCAGTTGTATGGTACACTTGTGAAGTTTTGTATTTGGAAATCTGAGACATTCCCATATCACAATGTGGCAGTTTTTTCTAATACACAAAACAAATCACTGTCAATCATGATTTATGATTGTTTTACTTCTGTGACAATCAACTAATGTTTATCAGCTTTCAGAACAATGGATGGAAATTCTACTCCTGTACCTTTTAGATATGATTAAATAATTACCCAAGATGAAATGATACAAGCAGAAGTAATTAGAAGGGAGTAAGATTCTACATTCTTCAATTTTCAATTTCATTTTACTTGAGTCCAAGAGCAGAGATGTGCTGTTGATTCGATGCATGACATAATTCCAGAGAAAATGTCTCCTTAAAAGAAAAGATCATTTGCTTTATATTTCTCTAACCACTGTGTGTTTTATCTGAGATCTGCATGTTTTTGTACAATCTGGCTAGTTTCTTCAGCATTATTCCTGTTCAATAGAAATCAGACACCATCAAGGAAAACATAAGAAATGTGTTTATGAATACACTTAGTAAGAAGAGTAGTAGTTTAGGATTTCTCAAACATTAATAGTTTGTTTCCAAACCACATAAAATCGGACCTCAGTAACTTCAAAACCTGCCTATATGTACTCAGATTAACTCTAGTAATTCTTCAGCAAAGTCCAGACTCCTCCAGTCATTCAAACATCCCAGTTATGTCATCAAATCACAGCATTTTAAATCTTGCTTTTGTGAAAGCAGGCTTAATGGACTGTATGTATGCTGTGCTCCTACTAGAGTATTTCCATATATGTAAGAGAGACATTGGTTATAGTCTATTTATGTTGATGCAGGTTAGATCTGTGTCTGCCATGTCTAAAACCAGCAAAAAACCTCTAAATACGGCTATGTTTCACTGAGAGGAATTGTTTTACACTAACTGTAATAACTTTATAAATGTG